AGGAAACATTATTTCTGATTGGCTTAATGAACTGACCTGAATTGGAATGTTTATTATGTGAAGTGCCTTGAGACGACTCTTGTCGTGATTTGGCGCTATATAAATAAACTTGAATTGAATTGAATAGTTTTTATTTTTATTTTATGACTGTCTTGCATGGAAAATAATGAAACGAGTCATAACAGCAGAGCAAATCCAAAAATTCTGAAAAAATGAGGCACGTGCGGAGGATTGTGGTGGTATGAATCAGCCACAGGTAGTAAAGAGAGCAGAAGTAAACAGGATGAAACACATCTTCTAAGTGCTTTAAAGTTGGAGTTAGAGAAACAAGTAAAGAAGAGTCGTGTGAGACGAAACACGGACAGTTTCCCCTCAAACTAATAAAATAAAAGAGAAATAAATTAATTTAAATAAATAAATAAATAATAACATCACTTCACCTATTCATGTGACAGTATTTAGAACATTACTATGTGATTTTTGGGGGGATAAAAATAGCTTTGGACATTTTTAAAACACGTTCAAAGTTTGAGCAAGAACAACAGCCAGAGCCGGCCCAAGGCATAAGCCAAGTGAGTGACTGTTCAGGGCCCCCATTCCCACCAGGGGTCCCCCAAGACCTCCAATGTAAGGAAAACAAGTTTTAATAACTTACAATCATACAAACCAAATCATATTTCACATAAATAAAAAATGTATATTATTTTCTATTGTGTCATTTGGTTTTATTTTGAAGTTCAGCACATTTTATGTATGTCTGATCTCTGAATTGTGTGCACTGAAACTCATTTTCGTTTCTCTGTATGTCTTGCACATGTGGTAGAAATGACAATAAATGACTTTGATTTTAAACATTTAAAATGTTCTAAACAAAGATAATAAACTTTACTTTTTTTTTTTACTATAAATTCTGTGTTTGTCTGCTGATGTTACTTTCAGAGAGGTTAATTAATATACCACACTTAAATAACACTCTGCATTTCAAAATGCAAATCAAGAGCGTTCTTGTTGGTTTGCTACTCCCTTAAAGTTAAAATCAATAGCCATAATACCACCTATAGGTTATAGGCAAATGACAGAAGTCGCTAATAGTGAGTATGTTACACCAACCCATTCTCACACCTGAAGTGTCGAAAAATGATGATGGGTGACCAAGCGTTTGTTTCAACCTCTTGCTATTTAACCTTCCCCTCACCAACATCCTGACCTTAACCCAGTTTCTTATTCTAAACTTCCCGTCAACCGTGTTGGAGAGGGACGTTACAACTAGAAACACAGTTTTGCACGCGCAAGAGGGTTAAGGTTAGGATGGGGAGTTAGGATAGGGGGAAGGTTAAATAGCAAGAGGGTAAAGGTCACAATTCGGTGAAATCTCTTTTTTACTGCGGCTGTCTGAAAACGACGCTCAGGCACAGCGCATTGCCTCCCGACGCCCTTGGGCTCCCAACGTGTCTGAAACAACGCTTGATCACCCATCATCCTTTTTCGACACTTCGGATGTGAGAATGTGTTGGTTATAGGGATGGGTACCTTTGACATTTGAATCGATTCGGTACTAATTCTCGGTACCTACGAATCGATACCGGTACTTAACAGTACCAATTTTCGATACTTTTGAGTGTTTATTATTTTAATTCTCTTTTATAATTAAATATATATTTTTCTCAATATATAAAAATATTTGATAAATATCACGATAAATAACATACAACTGTTTGTATTTTAACATCGTCCTTGTAGTTTTATAAGCTGATAATTAAACTGAAGCAAACATCTTTACTGTGAACTAAATTTACTGTGTATCTTCATTCCTTTTGCCGTCCTTTTTCAATTGATTTTTCCTACTGGGAAGATAGAATTTCCGAGGAGAAAGCGAATGCACCATTATGATAACAATGGTGGCAATGGAAGCTAACATATCAAGCTAACGTTATCTTAAACAGTTTATTTAACTGCTGGAGCAGATTTTAAACGACGATGCCTCACACTTAAATCGTTGTCACTGGTTTCATCTTCACCCAATCACCCGTCCACATTTAGTAAAGTGAAGCAAAACTTTAGAGCGCGTTCATGTTCTTCTAGTCAGAATTTCGGAGTTCCGAGGAGAAAGCGAACGCACCATTAGTGAAACGGAAGCTAACAAATCAAGCTAACGTTATCTTAAACATTTTAATTACCTACCGGAGCTGCTCTGTTTACAACTCGCTCGCAGCGACCGATGACATAACGCTCTTGCGCATGCGCAGCTGTCTAGGCAAGTTCTCGTTGTGAAGGACGAGTATCGAAACGAGGCACCGTTTCAAATGAAGTGAATCGGTGCTCGGTCGGTACTGTGGAATTCGGTCGATACCTTAAAAAGTACCGAATTCGGTACCCATCCCTAGTTGGTTACACAAATGGTCTAGCCTAGGAATGATGAATCATCTGTTTTCTGATGGTATGGAGGGCCCCAAAGGGAAACCTGCCTAGGGTCCCACAAAGACTTGAGCCAGCCCTGAATGTTTTGAGTAATTTCAGAAGCTCTCTTGTAAATGAAGCAGCTGCAACTGAGTGAGAACCTGCATCAGTGCAAAACAACTTTCTGTAAAATAGGAAACATAAACTGACCTGTCTTAGACGGTGGACTGCAGTATGTTTAATCACAAAAGCATAATATACATTCTAAAACTGCTACGGCTCTAAAAACTGTCTGGAGGTCTCCTCTCTGCTCTGAATCCACCAGGAGCAAAATGCCTTCTGTTAATGATCAGAGTGTAAACATCATTGCACCGGTGAAGCCGAAAACACATATTTTTAATTATATGAGCATTTCAGATGCCCTCATAGATATAAAACACCCCAGTTTGTGATTTATTTTTCCAAATTTAAAATCCAAGAGCTGTTGGTACTTTTCACAGGCAGCCAACACAAAGGCGGATGGCACTGAAACTTTTCTGCTAGTTTGGCAAATTCTGTTGATACACGCGGCTCAAAACTAACAGTTGTTTAGCAACAGGTAACCTTAACATTAGCTGTTTACTGTGTTACCGAACAGGCTTGTTTGTGTTAACTCTACCAAACCATGACCTCAGCTATGCTTCTAAACTAATCCTGTTTTGTAACCTGATATGCATGTAAACATGCATGTTAACGTACACATGTTGACCACTTTATTAGGTACACATTGGTAGTAGGCTGGACCTCCTTTTGCATTAATAACCACCTTAACATTTTGTATTATCAATTTAACAAGGAATTGATAAAAATCCTTAGAGATTCTGGTCCATTCTGACATGACATCATTACA